AAAAAAAACGATAGAATGTTACGAAAAATTATTCGAATTCGTTACGAAATTTTAAACATCAACTACATTTGTTGAATGTTTTACGATTATCATCAACCGGTTTGTTGATTTTTTTACGAAATGATGGAATTATCCATACAGCTTTCTTGCTAATGGATCTTAACGTGTATTTATAGTTCGATTTTTATATATAACGTATGTTTTCGCCGAAAAAACAGAGTTTATGGATAAAAACTAATTTGTAATAACCCTATTAGCCCTATTAGCCCTATTACGGCATTGTCCGGTCTAACATAAAAATTTTTTTTTTTTAAAAAAAAAACGCATGTCCGCCTAAATAACAGGTTCTGCAGGCAAAGAACGGATTTATAAACAATAACTATGCAAATTTTTAGGGATTTCATACGTGGAATATAATCACGCAATGCGTTTGCACGAATTATAATTTTAGTTTGACTAAATAAAAAATCCCTGCAACTCGTCCACCCCCTTTTCTGTGTAATAATTTTTCGGGAATGAAACTTTTAAATTACTCTAAATATAATTATCGGACGCAGTCCTGATTTCGTGTATCTGAATGACCCATTTATATTATTCCTGTTGTCATAAAGCGTCATTTATATATTACATTAAATTCGCGTTTTAGATTTTGGTTTCTTTTTTTTTTGCTTATTAATGACGCCAATTTTTTTGGTAACATTGTACAGTACATATCAGCGGATTTGGTAACTTTGCATTAAATTCTTAATCTGATAATTTCCGTTGCTTGTAATACCAAAAACCGCCTGATAAATAAGTTGAGTAAAAATCTACATTTACGAAACTTAAATTATTCATAACAAAAACCTCATAGAAAATAATAAATACGATTTATAAACCAAATGTAAAATAGAAAATTTATATAGTCACAATAGTTATTAATAATATTTTAAAAAGTATTTTAAAACTCAATGAATATTGTTTAAAAAAAAAATTTTTTTTTTTATAATAATTTTTATGAAATTATCTATTTTTTTATAATTGTGCAAAGTGTTATCATAACAGATAATCATATTTATTACGTTTTTGGCTTATTAAATTATTGTACAAACAATTAAAATTTTTTATTATTACGCCTTATCTGTGATGTATTGCTTTGTGTAACAAAAATATTTGATTATAGGATAATCAAATTCGCCGATTAATTAAATATTATATCGATTAAAGAATTCTTTTTTTGATAACGCCAATTTATTTTAATGAAATTGGTTTAGTGTCGCAAAATATTTTATATATAATTTATTATTTCCAGATAACATCTAATCTATTCCTAATGCAGAGAGGGCAATGATGCTTTATTTATTTTATCACATATATTTAAGAATCACGCAAAATGTTAAATCATGTTTGTTGTTGATTCGATCTTAAAGAATTTATTTTAAAAATTACACTTATCTTAGAGATAATATTGTTTATATATTTATTTAGCAGTTTATGGAAATATTTTCGCTAAATATATCCAATATTCTTTTTTATCGACCCAGTCTCAAAATTGTAAATAATAAATATATTAATTTATGAATAATAATGATGTATATTCATTTAAATTGACATAATTATGATGAAACAAATATTTTATATTCGAAATACTTAGGTCACCTGGTTAACGTGTTCAAAGATGTGACATAAGGTCATTCATTATATTAGTTTAATACCGACCCGAATTATTCAAAATTATTTATGATTACTTTTATTAAAGGATTTTTAAAGAACGCGATAATTCTCCTTTATGTCTTTAATGTTCGAGTATCGATCACTTGATAGTTGACTTTGGCCCGATTTACAAAACATTTGGTGACTAATAATTTTGATAAATGCATTAATTTATCTAGAAACTGATTATTTGCACTTATTAAACTTTATTATTTATTCTCAAAATTATTAATTACTAAACAGTGTGCTATAAAAAAATCATATTTAGTTAGAAAATATCCCAATTTGAGATTGAAGTTCCGTATAATAAATACAATTAGTATTATTATAAAAAACCCCATTTTAAAATAAATGGAATCCGTCCAAAATCCCGAAATTCGAAATTCCGAAGGCACGTTATCCCGTATGGCAAGCCGTTCAGGTCAAAAGTCCGCCGTGAATCCAGCAGGTACCTGCTGCAAATTCAACAGGTACCTGCCGTGAAAACAACAGGTACCTGCCGAATTTGCGGCGGACTTTTGACTTGAACGGCTTGCCATAATCCCGACACTCTAAATCCCGAATTGTCAAAATCCCGAATTGTCATGATCCGAATTTTATAATCCCGACACCCATAATATTGATTTTCTTAGTAAATTTAAAGATTTTTCATTTCAGTATTTTGAATTTCGGGATTATGAAGTGTCGGGCTTATGATATGTCGGGATTATGGCAATTCGGAATTTTGACGTTTCGTTGTTTCTGGATTTAGAGTGTCTGGATAATGTACCTTCGGGATTTCGAGTTTCAGGATTTCGTACCAAACCCTATAAAAAAATATACATTGATTATCGGTTTCATAAATATTTAAATTAAATGAGCATAGTATTTTAAAACTAAGTGTGACCCATATTATAACCGTCAGTACACTAATATTGAATAATTCGGCTTGTATTGGAGTATTAGCCCGTTTACGTGTATTTATATCCACTATGCCCAATTTATTTCACTCAGTGAGACTCTAAAAGATCGATAATTTTATAATGATAGGTCATTATCCCATGTCGCTAATTTATCTGCCAGTTCAAGCTATTAACACCATTTAAAAAAGACATAAGTCATGTGAAATGAAACAATTAATTATGAGTGTTGGATTTGTACAGTAGCCACAACGCCATATTTACATTTAGTATCATTTTTGTTATTAGTATTATTTATTTCGTGGGGAGTCGGAATAATAGGGTTTTTTTCCCGAAGGGAAAAAACCCTAATGTTCCCCTTCCCATGAAATAAATGGGTAATCCCCTGGAGCGTGTCACTCATTAAATATTAACTATTTTAACTATTTTAAACTAAAATTAGTAATTTCCCGGTTATCTATATGAGGCCGGGAAATAACTAAACGAAGATTCCCGGTCATTTATAAACTCAGCTAATCACTCGCAATTTTTAAAAATTAGTATGAAGGTGATCATGAGTGACACTTAGTGCGACAGGGGATTATATCTATTATATCCTTAATAACATAATAACAACGTACAGAATAGTTTTACCCTTGGGATCACAACAATTACTATGGAACACAAACTAATATCATTCATACCAAAATCTATACTTCCCTTCTTTGATAGTACATTTGTTTTGTGATTTTATGCGACAAAATATCGATTTTAAAAACTTTAAAATAATTACATACAATATTCAAATAAATGAAGTTATCGGATGATAACAAAAAAAGACTATATTTATTAGATGAAGACGATTTCGTAAATATACTGTATGTATACCATAAATGATTCTACACAATTTATTGGTATCTATGAATATGTAGGTTGAAATTATGAAAATATCGCTGATACAAACCAATCCATTACAATGGAGGATTTTTCATCAATTCGATAAAGTTATACCTTGCATCTTTCCAATGAAATCGTATAGATAAAAAAATTTTTTTCATAACATTAAATTAAAAAAAAAAAGAAATTTCTTTTATCTTCTAGCGAGATTTTTTTTTCAGTTTAGTTTACTATAATTGTGCTAAAATAAGACTCATCACGTACGTACTAATTTTAAATATCATGTGACCTTTGAATTTGGATAAACTTAACTCGGGCCAAACTCATAGTTCCGGCCAGAGTTAACAAAGATGAACCGATTATCATCCCTTGTTTGCCAAAATAAGCAATATTGGCGTTGTGTGACTAGTTTTCTATTAATTTGCAGATCTTTACATAGCGGTTCTATACATTCGTTAACTCTATAAATGAACCGCATTCCCTCTTTGAATGCAAGATTTTTAATGGATGGTCTTAGAAAAGAAAAATAATTAGTAAACATGGGACTGAGAAAAAGTACGCAGCTTTATAAGAAAGATCCTGATTGTCGTAGAAAAATTATCACCAAAGGCAATAAATAATATAATCTAATGAAGGAGAAATATCAATTGTCTCGTCACTCGAGGGTCGCCTATACGAAGTGCCTGCATAGTTTTAGGAATGCATTTGTAGATGGTGGTTACACTTATAGAGAGTTAACTGTGTTCTAATATCAATCGCTTTATGGTACAATTTATGCATTAGGAAAATGAAGTATGGTAAATTTAATTGATGGGAAAATGAATATTGAACCTGGTAGAGTATTAACCGAAGAGTAGTGTGTGATAGAGCTGGTTTTATTTGTCAGTGGGATAGATTGTGAAAGGTTGGAAGGCCTACTATTCAATATGCTGTAATTGAGACTTATTTTTATTCAGATAGAAATTCTTCTATTATGTAGAACTTTAACCGTTAATTCATATTTTTTTTAACACAGCAAAATATACTTTGTTAATAAGTTAAGTTATGCCGTCATACTATTATTTGTCAAGCCCATAACTCCTATCATTAATGCAATTAAATCTTCTGATGATTCTTAATAGTGATGAATATCATTAAATTATATTAAAGCTTTTATTTTCGGAAGATTTTATAGATATTAGTTAAATTGTGGGAAAAATTTTATGGAAAATGGATTTCTTTATTCTTTTTCCCCTCCCCGGTAAAAAAATTTTAAAATAATTAGTTAAAAAAGACTAGCTTATTTTTAACCGTAAAAACAAAATTTTTTTTGTAGAATTTCTTTACCAAGTAGTTTATGAATATTTGATAATTCATTAAGCTTACTATGAAATGTCAAAATTATTTCAATTTTAGGATACATTTATTTATATTAAATATTTCAGATTTTCAACATTGATAAAATTATATGTCATAAATATTTATTTTTTAAAAAAATAAGCAATTTATAAAACAACTTTATTTGATAAAGATGAATGTTCATAAATTGAATAATTAATTAATTTTCTTTGCAAAATCATGAATATTAAATAGTAGATCATAATAGCACTGAACTTTAATATCATGTAATTTAAATTCCTCCACTTCATTTTTGAAATAAGACAAATCACCATATCTTGGATATTTTTCTGAGAAAGTACCTATAATAGCTAAATATTTAACTCTTTTCTTTTTCATAATATATTCTTTTACGTAAGGTAAAATATTACTATCTTCATAAAGTCTATTATGAATTAAATTGATTAAAAATTTCTTTATAAAAATATTTTGTGAATTTTTCAAGAATATTTCCATATCACTTTCTTTGATACAAAGAATCAAACTTAAATATTCTAATTTATGAGGAAGGATTTGTCCTAAATTTTGTAATATAATTGAACTATATTCAATAATATATGATTGAAAATTTTCATAAACATTAATAGCAAGATAATTAAGATTTTGTTTAACATTTTCAATTAAATTGAGTGTTAAATAAATAAATTGATTTTCAAATCTAGAAAAATCAAGAAATTTCATATTTTTATTATATTTTATAAATGATTCTAATAATTGTTGTTTTAATATTAATGATAATTTATAACTAGGACTAAATCCCAAATTTTCTAAATAATCACCAGATTTTTTTAATAATAATAGTAATGATTCATCAATTTGTGATTCCTCATTTATAAATAAAGATTTTAATTTAAATGATTTATTTAAATTAATAATTTGTTGAGTAAAATCAGTATTTAAAGAACAATAAATGATATGAAGTGATTCTAAAACATTTAATTGTTTAAATACTTTATCTAAATTATTTATACCTTTAAAATTAATATGATAGAAAATGATTGTATTTAAGGTAGTATTTGAACAATTACAACCTTTTAATAATAATAATGATTTATATAAAGGTAAATAATTATTTTCTATAAAAATTTTCTTAAGATTTTGATGTAAATTAATTATTTGTGAAATTTTAATTATCACATTTTCATTATAATTAACGATATGAAGTTTCAAATTTTTAATATTATGAATAAAATTTGTATTTTGTAAAATTAATTCAAGAATAATATCATAATATAAATTATAATAAATATTTGAAGTATCAATTTCTAAAGTATTTAAATTTACTTCATTTTCAATAAAAGTTTTAAATAATAATATATCAATCAATTTTCTAAAATCTGATATTGAATATATTTTATTTTTAGGTATTGAAGTTTTAATAGTACTAGTATCAATCCACATATTAACATAATCAATAAAGTTATATGTATTCAAATATTTTAAAAATTTAGGATAATTAAACAATGTATTATTATTATTTAAAGGTAATGAATTATTAATTTTATATTCATTTAATTTTGATTTAAAATCATCATTTAAATTATTCAAATAAATATCAATAAAATTATAATTTCTAGTAGGAATTGAAAAGGGATTTTCCCATAATAATGGAATCGTTAAACGACACCATAATCTGTTAACTAAAATGCATGAATGTAAAGTTGAAAAATCATTCCGAAAATATTTTATAATTTCATATGTTAATTCAGGTAAATCTGAAAACATTTTTGAGAATGACATATTGTGATTTGTGAGCGAAGAGAAAAAAAAAGAGAATTTCGGAATAGTTTACTCCGACATTGTCGTACAATTAATGTAAATTGATTGTGTGTAACGTCACTAATTCCGGTTAATAATCTCCAACGATTTACACACCATTAATGATTGAATAGTAAAACCGACCGTTAATAAATTATTCATGACTTTATTAAACGCGTCAGCATTTTCTATTAATAATACATGTTGAAAGAACGAGAAATACCAATTAAGAAAAAAAGTGTCACTATATATATATTAGGCCAAAGAAATAAAATTATTCGTTTCTCATAAAAAAAAACTGCTAAATTTGACCCGGCCGCCCGGAAAAAAAATTTATTTTCAAAAAAAATTTTAGCCGATTCCTAGAAGATGATTGGTTGATTTAATAAATTTTTTGCCCGGGTGGCCGGGTGGAAAAAAAAATTATTTTTTTATGATTATGATTGGTCAAAACCAAAATCACATGACCAAATAAAATAAATTTTTTTATCTTTTCGTAACATTTACATGACCCGCCCGGTCATGAGAAACGAATAAATTTATTTACTTGGCCTTATAAAGAGGGGGAAATTTAAAAAAATCAGGTTTGAAAAAAAGAAAAAAAAAAATATTAATATTGCTAAAAAAAATCAGGCTTGAAAAAAAAAACTGAAATATTAATGACATTAAAAAAATCAGGTTTCAAAAAACCAAAATAAAAAAATAAAATAAAATAAAATAATAAAAAATTGAAAAAAAAAACTGAAAAAAATTTCAACATTCTTGATGGCCGATCGCATTGTTCAAAAAAGAAATATGGTTAATAAAAAAATCAAACTTTTTTCGTTGGTATTATAACCACAAAAATCTTTCATGGATTGGCCACCTACACATGACAGTCAAATTATTCTAACCATTAATAAATACGTATCACGCTTTACCTGTTACACAATTCAAGTTATGTGGTAATCTAGACGGGACAATTTTTTTAGTTATATTGATGCTTCACTTTCATTTTTATTCACATTTTTGTAACAGTCAGCTAGATTATATTGTGCTGCCGCATTTTACTTTTAGTCGATTCTAAATACTTTTATTTCATTTTTGTTCGTCCTTATGCCATATTCATAATAACAATCTAAACTATTTTGTGTACTATTATCTCCACTTTAATTTTAAATACCACTCAAACGCTTTTTCTTCACATTTAAGAACTTAAGCACGTTTTCACTTTAAATAACTTAACAACAACTGAATACTATTTACAGGTATGTGTAAACTATATTTATACATGAATATAAATAATATAATAAATAAAAAAACAATTTTAAAAAGTTTATTGGGAGCGTATAAAGAATTTCAGGTAGTTTAACGTGGTATCAATGTAATACCCGAGAGAACAAAATACAAAATATTACAGATAACAATCCATCAATCCATCACTAAGAAAATAATTAAAATTTAAGATAATTATTAATTGAAGATAAATAATAATTTAACGTTAAACGTACCTTATAATTATATACTATACACTCAATATTATTTTCGTCTTTTGATGAAATTCTTAATGTTTTGTTTTTACAAACAAAACAAGTTTTACCGCAATTGCAATCAACATATTTTATTTTAATTTGTTCGATTTTTTGTTTTAAAAAGAATGGTTTATAATTATCATTTGATAGACATAAACTAATATACTTTGGATTTAAATGAGAGGTAAATTTTTTTCTAAGATCAACGAATGGTTTTTTTTTCAACATACTAAACTCAAATGAAAATGATCCATAGGAATTAGAAATGGGATCATCTATAATGAGTGTGCAAAAAGTAAAGTTTGGTAAATTAACGTAACAACTTTTTTCTGCACAATAAGAAAACATGTCTATTTTAAGTTCATTATCAACATTACGAAAATTATGTCCAATAATAAGGGACTTATTTAAATTATTCAAATTTTCTAATATAGGAATTCCAAAGAAAGGAATATTTCTTGTCATTAAATCATGATTTGATAATGTCGTACTGGTAAAATTGCGTTTATCATGTGAATCATGATGTTTTTTAATTACTTCGATATTAGGAAGTATAAAATTAAAATCTGTATCATAACCAACAACCATTATCTTAATTTTCAACTTCAAATTGCGTGATTGGAATTTTTTTTGAATACCATGAATTATAATTCTTGGTTTTACCAATTTCCCTTTTTCTGCCTTTGGTTTAAGTATTTGACAATTAAAAAAAATATTTTTTGAATCTTCAGTATCAACAACTGTCGCAAAGATATCACAATCAGCTTCTTCATTTTGAATAATATCCAAAATATTTCGTGGTAACTTTAATTCAAAATCTCGATATTTTTTAAATTTATTCAAGTAATAATCACAGTCTTCGGTGCATGTATACAATATTCTTTTTCCAATAGACTTAAAGGGCATTTTACATAAAGTATCAGGTACAAGTTGAAATATGCTAACAGGATTTTTAAATTCTATACACTCCCAATTTCGGTAGTCTTTCAAAGAATCAATCCAATATTTTTCATCAAATTTTTCACCTTCAGGATGACTTCCCCCAAGTAATCTCATATTATTAAAATTATAAAATTTTGATTTTCCTTTTAATTTACTAGAATTAACTTTTACTTTAAGATTTAAAGGTCCAAACTTTACGCTTGCAGAATTTTGCCTAGACTTAGTTGCAGAACTTTTTGATGACATTGTGACATCTTTAAAATAAACTCTTCCTCCTAAAATAACTTCAGTTGGGATAAATTGACCATATTCTTCAGTAATTTTTCTATATTCTTCTAAATCATTAGATTCTATGGCAGCTTTTATATCTTTAATAAATTCTTCAGTTGGTTCTAAATGTTCTCGAAATTTCAATAATACTTTTCCAACCTCTGTATAATTATATATTGACTTAATTTCATCATCAAAATTATCACTTTGTGAACTTTCAATAGATATTCCTAATTCTGCAAAATTTTGTATATTAACGTCACTACTAAAAAATAAATTAGTTTTCTTCATCCAATCCTCTTTTGATTCAAATTCAAGATAACCTTTTTTATACCCTTTAGCCTTAATTTCAGTTAATTCACAATCTTTCATCTTAAATGCCCTTTTAGTAGCTTTCTTAATTCCATCAAAACTCATAGTACATCCATAATCTAATTCACAATTATTATTAAAAATATCCCAACATGGTTTTCTCATTAAATATAAAATATTTAAATTATTATTAATAGTTATAATTTCTTTTAAACTATATTTTTTTTCATCTTCACGTTCAATTTTAGCATATCCATCGCTCAATTTTGTTGAAAATAATAATGTATTATCAATATCATTATTATTACGAATATCTGATAAATTATCGGCTAAATTTAATTTTTTTGAAGTGTATTGTGATGGTACATCATCTATAATTTGAATAAATACAATTACGAAAGACATTTTTTTTTTTAAATTTTTTTAAATAAAAATAAAAAAAAAGAAGAAAAAAAAGGATGTGGGCTTTTAAAAAACATTAACGATGCGTGTGTATCGTTATAATGTTCCAAAAATGTATTACACTGCATCAATTATACAATTTTGTGTAACAAATAGATCAGATCAAATTATTACAATGAGATAATGACGATCATTGAATAAATGAATTCAAACGAAGATAATATAAATCATTGATAGAGTCCGTCGTAGTCAGAGGAGCTAGTTATTCTTTTTATGTAAATTTTGTATTTATGTTTTTTATCATGTACTGTTTTTACTTATAAATAAATTGAATCGCAATTTTTGTCAAAAAAAAAAAAAATTACTTCCTCACTATAAATCTAACCTCTATGTCGATTATAATAGTACTTCAAGCCTAAGAAAATTTTTATTTTTTATTTTTAAGATTTGGATAAAACTGAGATCTTGAATCTATGAGTATTACTTCTAAAAAGATTATTATCTAAATTATTCTCAACCCGAAAGAAGTCACCTCGCCTATTATCATTGATGAGTAAAATAGGCTCAGCCGGTTTATCTAAGACGAAATTACAGGGACCAAAGATAAATGAGACGAGGAAATTAAAGAAGGAACTAAATTAAAATGAAAAATATAAAAAAAAATTAAAAAATCTATATAATTATAAAGAGAAGAATCTATATTATCATGGATATGAGACGTCCAAGATTTATAAAATAATAAAATTTATAAAGTCTTATCAAACATGTGATCGATTTGTGCACTTATTTTATGTAACATTTGAAAAATTTCGCGCTCTTTTAAAAGAATAGAAGAATATTTTATATCTGATATTTTAATATATTCTAGATATTAAATGATAAAAAAAATTATTATCTTTATTGTATTTATTACACTAATAAACTAAATAAACAACAAAATATTTTATATAATAAATTATAATGAAATTATTTTTGTTTCAATTTTTAATGTAAAATCTTGAAATATAAAAAAATTATTAAATGAAAATTTATTTAAATTAATGTCAAAACCAATAAAATAGCTTCTACTAAATATTATATTAATAATAGTTTTTAATAGTATTACAAAAAAATCCATAAATTGCCCACCTGTTGGATGATTATTTTTATACCTTATAAAATGTGAAATCTCTATAAATTAACAAAAAACGCGTTTATTATATAAATTATTTATTTATGATAATATTCTATTTGAAGTTCTGGACTATTGTTGAAAAGTATTTAGTTTCATTAATTAAAAAGTTTTAAAAATATTGAGATAAGTTTATTATCGTTAATAAATGAAGAAACGATGAACCGATCAGAAGGTGCAACACCGGGTCATGTTGTTGGATTACAAATCACGGTAACTAATACATATATGATAAATCTGATAAATCTTTTCTGTACCTGATATGTGATATCTGCTAAACTATAATAAATTTTTTAATGATGACAGTTGTTATTGATGGTGATTGACATCACGTGATGATGTGATTTAATTGTTCCACTGGTGTCTGTGAAATGTAAAACTTAAATTACCTAAAATATAAATCTTTTAATAATAATATGATGTCAATTATTTAAAACATAATCCATTGTTTAAAAATGAAGCATACTTACTTTTTGATCTTTCTCTTTACAACAAATTTTTATGAGTTTATCCATTTTTATATCATACAAATATACACATGATTTGACCATTTTGAATACGATTTTTTTTTTTCAATCTTTTTATTTTTACTATTTTTACTGTTTTCACATTATTGATTCAAAGTGACACTGTTCGTTTAGATTGTGGTGCAATGCAAAAAAAAAGTGGCAAAAAATACTCTTGTAACGTTTCTTTTTAGCTTCGCCCTCGTTAATAAAATGTTCAATTTACAGATGACTGCGGCTCAAATAATTATTGTCATCAAAACCTCGCATTTTTACTTTATTAATTTTAAAATGGCTATGCTCTTCAATTGTAAATTTAATCGTGGCGCAATACTATAGAAAAACGTGGCAAAAATACTCTTGTACGCCTCCTTTTGCTACTTCGCCTTCATTGATGATAATATCATGAAAAAAAATTTAATCATGAAATAATTTGAAATAAGTATTTATTTTTTTTTTATATAATCACTTTGAGAAAGAAAAAAGAAAATTTCTTTTTTAAAAAAAAAAATTAATAAAAAATTAAAAATTATATATAACACACAAAATCAATTATGCAATCAAAATATTTGTTACTGATTTTTGTCTTTATTGTTGCTTCAGCAGGTATAATAAGCAATCTCTTATATTGAAGTTTTTTCTTTTCTTTTTTTATTAATTTTAATGTTAATTATTAAAAAGGAATATTTTAATAATATTATAAAAGCTTGGGGAGCGGAAGCATGGGGTTTTGAACGTAACACGGATGCAGGGAAATGGAAACGAGATGCAGATGCTGCAGGGATATTTAAACGTGACGCAGGTGCGCCAGTTTATAAACGTGACGCGGATGCGGAAATCTTCAAACGAGATGCGGGTATTGTAGTAGATTTTAAACGTGACGCGGATGCGAAACACTCCAAACGAGATGCGGATGCAGGAACTTATAAACGTGAAGCGGATGCGGGAATCTTTTCGAAAGTTTTTAAACGTGACGCGGATGCAGATCCGACTATATAGACTCCTAACTTGCACAATAACTATTACAGATACTCAAATTTGTTCCTATGATTCAATTTAATAAAATATAAAACATGTGTATTATTTACTCATTATTTTTTTTATTTTTATTTTATTTTTATTTTTACTGTATGTACAGTATACGAAGAATAGATGAATAGATGAATAGATTCTACTATATATATACTACTAACCACCCATTAATTACTCATAATAAGTAATCGATTTATTTAAATAATAAAATTTTATAAAAAATTATGTGACAAATATATTAGCAAATCAAAATTTAGAATTCAATAAAATATAATATATGTTTTAAGAAGGCAATTTCCAACAAATGTAAATCTGATTATACTAAAATTTTAGAATTATATATTTACAAATATGACGAATAAATTTAACTATCCAGTAAATGAATTAATACTAAAAAAATTTAGTATTTAATTATAGTTAAAAATTTGAAATAATATTACAATTTATCAGAAAATTTGTTATGATGCACAAGTTTCACTTATAAAATAAAATTAATTTAATTAATAAAAAAATAGTTACTTATAGCAAACGCACGTCAGTTATCGACTGACGCAAATCGTCATCTGAGGAACAACATATACACACGAAACAAATAAAAAAATTACAAATTTATTTCATTATCTTGCCTATATGATTTGCCTCTCAAATTGGCCAGTACGAACTTGATATTCCAGTCGTTTTTTTAGCAGCTAACGTCTTAAAAGAAATATGCATGTTAATTATAATATGAAAAAAAAGTAATAATTGTATAAGCTAGAATAATTAAGTTAGATACAAAGTACTTCTTTTTTAAAGGTTACACGAAATTCTCAATTTTTGATCGTCATAGTATTGTTAGTATACGTAACAATCGTAACATCAGCACTACTCAAAATTTTTAAACTTAAACCGAAGCTCTTGGTATGGCTATAAACTATCAACTATCAAGATTAATGGTCAGGATTTTGAAATAAAATTAATAAAATACTTTCATTTGGTAAGATGTACATTTAAAAATGCTATATTGTGACTATAAGGGACTTTTAAGTATAGAGATTCCGCGCTGCAGAATATGCATCTTGCGGGGACTTCACAATATTTTATATTATTATACAATATATATATATAACAGTAGAGATTTGGGTGGGAAGTCATTTTTTTTCGTCATTTGAAAAAGTAGAGAAAAAAAGTGGGTTTCTTATTAAAATAATTTTAATAAAATTAATGGTTTATATATACAAGTAATATATATTAGAAAGATAAATTTTTTCATTATTTTTTTCATTTTTTATTAGAAAAATTTTTTTTCTATTAAAAAAAAAAAAATAATTTTCGATAATTTTCTTTATTTATTAATCTTTTCGTCAGAAGCAACAAATAATTGTGGCGCTACTATATAGACAAAATCAAACGCGATACTGCAAGCAAATGGCTAAAAGTGAGTAAAATTTTTAATGTTATTGATAAGAAAGATAAAAAGAAAATCCCAAAAAAAAGAAATTTTTCATTATTAATCTATTGACCTTTTTAAAAAAAAAAGGATTGGCGGACAAGACATCTCTCATAATTTTTATCAAAATTGAAGTTATAGGAGACCTACAAAAAGAAACCAACAGAATATTAGTAAAATATTTATGAACAAAAAAAATATATATTTATAAGTGAATAATAAAATCTGAAGGATCTTATAAAAATAAAATAAAACAATCTATATTTTTTTTTTAAAAAAATAAAAAAAAAATTGTAAGCTTAGTTCGTTGTACAGTAGATCTTAACCAAATATTCAACGTTAAAATTTTATTTTTCATTTTTTAACAGAAAAAAAGCATTATTTTTTTGGAAATAAGTCTTATTTTTACCAGAAAAAAAAATTTTTTTTTATTTATTAGTCAAAGAATGATAAAGGATGATGAAAAAATAAAAGAAATGTAATAATACTTATTTTTTCAAAAAGGAGTATGCGCCGTTAAAATATACAATTATAATAATTTTTTATGATCTAAACTAACCTGAGTTTAAACTACTTCATTGATTTCAGTTGATAAACTTTCATTAAAATTATCTTTAGTTAAAACATAACCAGTTAAGTCTAAAGAAAATCCTCCCTCATTTTTATTATCAAACTTCAAATTCTTATAATCTGAACATAGAACGCAAATACGTAAGTCTAAATTAATATCCTCTTCATTATCTGTTGAAAAATTATTATTTGATTCGTTATAAAATGGTTTGGTTACTTGAAATTTAATTGAATTATGTGACCATTTAACTAACTTAATAATATTATCAGGCTCATAATTGGTCGATGGACAATATGCATGAACAAAAATAGTGTATCCTTGAGATAAAGAAAAAGAAGGTTTGATGTAATAATTTGATTTATCAGATTGTAATATAATAGATTCTTTAATACATTCAACTTGAAATTCTCGATTATTTGGACTAAAAACCAATAATTTTGAGGGTTTTTCAACAATCATCCATAGAATGCGACATTCTTTTATATTGATACTTGTTTCTTCTAATTTTTTTATCATTGCAAAAAATCCATTAATGTCATACGATCCAAAATTAACATAAATTCCTTCTAATCTTGAATTATTTTTTGAAACAATTGATCCATATACTTCATAATCTTCATCTTCTAATAATGGTTCAATATTTATGCGTTTGTGATACTCAACTTCATTATTATCTAAATCTCTCAAATCAGTAATTCCTGTCATCAATATTCTATAATTATCTTTTAACAAATCATCTATTTTCATTTGTTGTTCCTCTTTAAGAATTTTGTAAAATGGTTCGATTTCATCAAATTCAATAATTTCCAAATTATTTGGATTTTGAATCCAATTAGGTAAATCATTATTTTCAATAATTCTTCCTTTTGGCGTTAAAAAATATGAAATATTTAATTTGTCTAAACGTGGCGTTAACGTTAACGATTCTGTTTTTATATCAATGGTCTCAGGTGCAATAGAAGTTGGTAAAATATTTTTAATAGATCTTCCCAAAATAATTCTTTGTGGGAATAATTGACCATATTCATCAAATATATCTTGTAAAGCTTTTAACGGTTTCATGCTATTAAGTGCTTCTTCTATAGCATATTCAAGCTTTTGTGTAGGTTTTATATTGTCTTTATTTAATAGAATTTCATATTGTTCACAATTGATTAGAACATGAGTACTATTCTCATCATTTTTACCATTATTACTTTTAATACTATTATCTTTGATAAATGGAAATGAGTTTAAATTATAAGGCGAATAAATATTATTGGATATCAAGAAATTTTCCACTTTTGTTGAAGGTTTCATAATTTTCAAATAAGATGAATTTCTTGGTTTAATTTTGGGAATCTTGGTAAAAGTAATGGGAATTTTCTTGCTAATCTCCATCTCATAATCTTTATCAAGTATCAATCCTTGAAAAAGATGGAAATCTCTGATCCAACTCACTAGATTATTGTTAACTGCATCTCTAACCCACTCTTCTAAACTTATATTTTCTTTAAAATTAGAGATTTCATAATGATTCTCGTTAAAAAAGCCATCTACTGATGATACAATATTGTTTTTTAACTGAGAAATGGGAATAAAATTATCATAAGAAATTATAAAAATGCTTTTCTCTCCCTCTTGATACAAATTATTCATCCATTTGACCAGCTTTTTATGAGTATTCAACTCTTCACCATCTAATGTTACTATTTTTGGTAAGAGGTTTAAGGTAAAAAAATTATTGACCGGAATTTCTATAGAATGTTTAGCTGAATTATACGCACAGAATAAATAAAATTTTAAAACATCAATTTGTGCTTGAGTGGCCAAATTTAAATTTTTAATAAATAATTTACTACCAATTAGAATGTTTCTTGCAAAAAAGTGTCCGTACAACTTATATAAATTTTCATCATCTGTGCATTTTGAAAATGATTCCAATAAATCGCCTCTATAAATAATTTCAGCAATTGGAAAATTAATACACACATCGATTGTATTATTAAGATTATCTTTGTCCATGAAAAAATTTTCTGAAGAAATAGAATCATTTATATTATTATATATTATGGGTTGTCCATTGTATAACTTTATATTCAATTCACCATCTTTCATAAAAATAGCTTGTTTACTTGGCTGTATTTTATATCCATCAAACAATAAACCATGATTTAATTTCAATTGATGAATAATTTGTTGATCATTACTCATGGACTTTATAGATTTTATCACTATTTTTGTAGTAGGGAAACTGATTGTACCTTTTTTCAAATTTACTGCCCTTTTGTATAATTTAAATGCTTCTTGCCTATCAATACTAGTTCCAATTCCATTGTAATAACAATATGCTAATTTAAATATTCCATCTGGATTTCCATTTTCAGATGATTGATCAAATGATCCAGAAGCTTTTTTATAATTTTCACTATCATTATATCCTTGCTCAACTGATTTTTTATACCATTCAAATGCTTTAACTTCACTTTTTTTGACACCATTTCCATATTCATAACATATACCTAAATTAAATTGTGAAAATTTATTTCCATATTCTGCTGCTTTTTGGTACCAATAAATTGCTTTTTCTAAATCCTTTTCCGTACCTATACCATTTTTATAAAAATATCCTAATTGATTTTGTGCCTCATTATATTCTTGTTCAGCTGATTTTTTAAACCATTCAAATGCTTTAACTTCGTCTTTTTCAATTCCACTTCCGTATTGATAAAACATCCCAAGATTAAATTGTGAAATTTTATTTCCATTTTCTGCTGCTTTTTGGTACCAATAAATTGCTTTCTCTAAATCCTTTCCCGTACCTATACCATTTTTATAAAAATATCCCAAATTATTTTGTGCATTACTAAACCCTTGTTCTGCTGATTTTTTATACCATTCAAATGCTTTAGCTTCATCCTTTTTAATACCTCTTCCGTACTCATAACATATACCCAAGTTATATTGCGAATATTTATTTCCACTATCTGCTGCTTTTTTATACCAATAAATCGCTTTTTCTAAATCTTGTTCTGCGCCTATACCATTTTTATAAAAATATCCTATATTATTTTGTGCATGACTAAATTCCTTTTCGGCTGATTCTTTGTAAAATTTAAATGCTTTAACTTCATCTTTTTCAACGCCTTTTCCATTATTGTAATAATTGCCTAATTTATATAATGAAAATTTGTTTCCATTTTCTGCCGCTTTTTGATACCAGTAAATTGCTTTTTTTAAATTTTTTTCTGTACCAATCCCAACTTTATAAAAATATCCTAACTGATTTTGCGCATTACAATATTCTTGTTCTGCTGATTTTTTATACAGCTTAAATGCTAAAACTTTATTTTTTTCAACGCCTTTTCCTTTTTTATAATAACTACCCAAATTATATTGTGAAAATTTATTTCCATTTTCTGCTGCTTTTTGACACCAATAAATTGCTTTTTCCAGACTTTTTTTAGTGCCTATTCCATTTTTATAAAGATATCCTAATTGGTTTTGTGCATCACTACATTCTTGTTCAGCTGATTTTTTATACCATTTATATGCTTTAGCTTCATTTTTCTCAACAACATTTCCATATCCATAATATACGCCCAAATTATATTGTGAAAATTTGTTTCCATTTTCTGCTGCTTTTTGATACCAATGAATAGCCTTTTTTAAATCTTTTTCTATGCCAATACCACTCTGATAAAAATATCCCAACTTATTTTGTGCATCGCTATATTCTTGTTCGGCTGATTTCTTATACCATTCAAACGCTTTAACTTCATTTTTTTCAATACCAATTCCATATTCGTAACTTATGCCTAGATTATATTGTGATATTTTATTTCCGCCTTCTGATGCTTTTTTATACCAGTACATTGCTTTTTCTAAATCTTTTTCTGTACCTATGCCACTTTGATAAAAGTATCCAAGTCCATTTTGTGCATCACTACAATCTTGTTCAGCTGATTTTTTATACCAATTAAATGCTTTAACTTCATCCTTTTCAACACCCTTTCCATATTGATAACATACACCTAAATTATATTGTGAAAATTTATTATCACCTTCTGCTGCTTTTTGATACCAGTAAATTGCTTTTTCTAAATCCTTTTCCGTACCAATACCATTTTCATAAAGATAACCTAACTTATTTTGTGCTTTAATATATTCTTGTTCTGCTGATTTTTTATACCACATAAATGCTTGAGCTTCATCGCCTTTTCCGTATTCATAGCACAAACCTAAATTATACTGTGCAGTCTTATTTCCATTTTTTGCTGCCTTATGGTACCAATAAATTGCTTTTTCTAAATCTTTTTCTGTACCCATACCATTTTGATAAAAATATCCTAACTTATTTTGTGCATCACTATATTCTTGTTCAGCTGATTTTTTATACCAATTAAATGCTTTAGCACTATTTTTTTCAATACCATTACCATATTCATAACATATGCCTAAATTATATTGTGAAATTTTGTTTCCATTTTCCGCCGCTTTTATATACCAAAAAATTGCTCTTTCTAGACTTTTTCGTGTACCTATGCCATTTTTATAAAAATATCCAAATTGGTTTTGTGCATCACTATATTCTTGTTCAGCTGATTTTTTATACCATTCAAATGCTTTAACCTCATCTTTTTCGATTCCATTTCCATATTGATAAAATACGCCCAAATTATATTGAGAGATTTTATTTCCATTCTCTGCTGCTTTTTGATACCAGTAAATTGCTTTTTTCAAATTCTTTTCCGTACCTATACCATTTTCATAAAGATATCCTAACCCATTTTGTGCATCACTACATTCTTGTTTAGCTGATTTTTTATACCATTCAAACGCTTTAACCTCATCTTTTTCAATATATTGGTAATATCGACCTAAGTTGTATTGTGAAATTTTATTTTTATTCTCTGCTGATTTTTGGTACCAATAAATTGCTTTTTCCAAATCTTTTTCCGTACCAATACCATTTTCATAAAGATATCCTAACTTATTTTGTGCATCACTATATTCTTGTTCAGCTGATTTTTCAAACCATTTAAACGCTTTAACTTCATCTTTTTCAATTCCATTTCCATATTGATAAAATGTACCTAAATTATATTGTGAAATTTTACTTCCATTTTCTGCTGCCTTTTGATACCAATAGATCGCTTTTTTTAAATCTTTTACTGTACCCATACCACTTTCATAAAAATATCCTAATTCATTTTGTGCATCCCTATATTCTTGTTCAGCTGATTTCTTATACCATTCAAATGCTTTAAATTTACTCTTTTTAACGCCATTTCCATATTCATAGCATCTTCCTAGATAATATTGTGAAACTTTATCTCCATTTTCTGCAGTTTTTTGGTACGAATCCAAATCTTTTTTTGTATTTGTATCATTTTCATCTATCTCATTTTTTGTATCATTATGATCAGAATTTTCATAGTATTCAAATTCTTTAACTACGTATTTTTCACCTAAATTATACTTCTCCTTGGCATTTGTCATAATTTATTTTTTTTTCTTTTTTTTTTTTTTTTAAAAAAAAAAAAAAAA